ATATCAACCCTCTGGTCTAGAGGTCCCTGTCATAATGCAAAGGGCATATGCTTTGGCGTTAATTGATCTCAGTTCAAATCCACATGGAAGCAACCTAGATGTCCATTGAAAGATGAATGGATAAAGAAGCTGTGGTATATATGCACAATGGAATATTACTCAACCATAAAAAGGAACACTTCTAAGTTCTAATGAGGTGGATGAACCTAGAGTCTATTATATAGAGCGACGTAAGTCAGAAAGATATTAAGCAGATGCTATTAAGAAGAGATGGCAAGAATACACAGAAGAACTGTACAAAAAAGATCTTCATGACCCAGATAATCACAATGTTGTGATCACTCACCTAGAGCCAGATATTATGGAATGTGAAGTCAAGTGCGCCTTAGGAAGCATCACTATGAACAAAGCTAGTGGAGATGATGGAATTCCAGTTGAGTGATTTCAAATCCTGAAAGATGATGCTGTGAGTGTGCTGCATTCAATATGTCAGCAAATTTGGAAACCTCAGCAGGGGCCAGAGGACTGGAAAAGGTCAGTTTTCATTCCAATCACAAAGAAAGGCAATGCCAAAGAATGCTCAAACTCCCCCACAATTGCACTCATCTCACACGCTGATAAAGTAATGCTCAAAATTCCTCAAGCCACGCTTTAACAATACGTGAACCGTGAATTTCCAGATGTTCAAGGTGGTTTTAGAAAAGGCAGAGGAACCAGAGATCAAATTGCCAACATTGCTGGATCATCGAAAAAGCAAGAGAGTTCCAGAAAAACATCTATTTCTGCTTTATTGACTATGCCATAGCCTTTGGCTGTGTGGATCACAATAAACTGTGGAAAATTCTGAAAGAGATGGGAATACCAGACCACCTGACCTGCCTCCTGAGAAACCTGTATACAGGTCAGGAAGCCACAGTTAGAACTGGACATGGAACAACAGACTGGTTCCAAATAGGAAAAGGAGTACGTCAAGGCTGTATATTGTCACCCTGCTTATTTAACTTATAAGTAGAGTATATCATGAGAAACTCTGGGCTGGAGGAAGCACAAGCTGGAATCAAGATTGCCGGGAGAAATATCAATAACCTCAGGTATACAGATGACACCACCATTATGGCAGAAAGTGAAGAAGAACTAAAGAGCCTCTTGATTGAAAGAGGAAAGTGAAAAAGTTGGCTTAAAGCTCAACATTCAGAAAACTAAGATCATGGCATCTGGTCCCATCACTTCATGGCAAATAGATGGAAAAACAGTAGAAACAGTGGCTGACTTTATTTTGGGGGGCTCCAAAATCACTGCAGATGGTGATTGCAGCCATGAAATTAAAAGACGCTTACTCCTTGGAAGGAAAGTTATGACCAACCTAGACAGCATATTAAAAAGCAGAGACATTACTTTCCCAACAAAGGTGTGTCTAGTCAAGGCTATGGTTTTTCCAGTAGTCATGTACGGATGTGAGAGTTGGACTATAAAGAAAGCTGAGCACCGAGGAATTAATGCTTTTGAACTGTGGTGTTGAAGAAGACTCTTGAGAGTCCCTTGGCCTGCAAGCAGATCCAGCCAGTCCATCCTAAAGGAGACCAGTCCTGGGTGTTCATTGGAAGGACTGATGTTGAAGCTGAAACTCCAATACTTTGGCCACCTGATGCGAAGAGCTGACTCATTTGAAAAGACCCTCATGCTGGGAAAGATTGAGGGCAGGAGGAGAAGGAGACGACAGAGGATGAGATGGTTGGATGGCATCATTGACTCAATGGGCATGGGTTTGGGTGGACTCCGGGAGTTGGTTTTGGACAGGGAGGCCTAGCGTGCTGAGGTTCATGGTGTCACAAAGAGTCGGACATGACTGAGCGACTGAACTGAAGTGAACTGAAGTCAGAAAGAGAAAGATATATATTGTATACTCATGCATATATATAGAATCTAGAAAGATGCTACCAATGAATTTATTTACAAGGCAGGCTTGGAGAAACACACATAGATAACAGACTTATGAACTCAGGGTGTGGTGGAGGCGAGGGTGAGAGAGTAACTTGGCAACTCACATTACCATATGTAAAACACATAGCCAATGGGAATTTGCTGGATGACTCAGGGAACTCAAGCTGGGGCTCTGTAAGAACCCAAAAGGGCGGGATGGGGAGGAAGACGGGAGGGAGGTTCAAGAGGGAGAGGACATATGTATACCTATGGCTGACTCATGTTGATGTTTGACAGAAAACAGCAAAATTCTCTAAAGAAATATCCTTCAATTTTAAAAGTAAATTAATTTTTAAAAATCTTAGTTCAAATCTAACCACTGCCATTTATTAGGTAGCTGATCTTAGAGAAGTTAAATTCTCTAGGCCCTAGTTTCCTTATTTGGGTTAATTGAGATAGCTTGTAAAACATCTAGGACTATGTCTAGAACCTAATGGAACTGCCAATCCCATGGACAGAGGAGCCTGGCAGGCTATAGTTCATGGGGTCACAAGAGTTGGACACAACTGAGCATCTAAACCAATAAATGTTATGCATCTCCTTTATTTCTATTTTCTTTCTTAATTTTTGTATCTGAAAGAAAACAATCCCTCAAATTTCTCTCACACAGTATCTTAGTGAGGGTTCTTAATTGCAAACTTCAGAAATCATCTCTGGCTAAATCAAGCAAAGAGGGAATGTACAAGGGGACATTGCGTAGCTCACAGAATTGCTGAAAAGCCTGAAGAGCCAGGTGCAGAAAATGAACTGGAACTCAGAGAGACTTTGCAACCAAGAACACAGCCAAGATCTCACCTCAGAGTAGTCTGATGGCCTGCTATCTGCCACCGTTGACCTGTGAACACTGGAGGCTGCTGTCCCCTCAGTGGCAAAACTGATTCTCCGCTGATTTTGCTTCTTGCTTCACATGCTCCTGGTGCAAAAGGCTCTGAGTGATCAAGGAAAGACAAGATAAATTCTACTCTGGGTTGTACCAGCATCACATCTGGGTGTACATTCTCCTTGTTTCCCATCAATTCCTCAGCAATTCCAGTATAGGCTTCCAAGCAGCCTGCCCTTCGCTTAATCAGATGATCCACCATGTTGTAGTCTGACTTGTCCGCTTGGGCTTGGGAGGCCTGCTTAAAAAAAAAAAAAAAAAAAAAGCTCTGAGTGAGAAGGTTCCTGGTTGGTGAGACTGCTCTAGAGTTTTTGGCTTTCGAGCTCTAGTTCAGCTTCCATCCTTTACAATAAGAAAGGAATTGAGATGTCTGGAAGCCATGAAAGACCAGAGTAAATCCTCACCATTTCTGATATTCACATCTCATCCTCATTTCATGTATACGTACATTCATTCCTAAGGTTGTAGAGTCTCTCTCCAGGAACTCTCCTCAAGCCTAGAACCACTCTGTTTTCAGAGCAACTTTACACCTTTCTGCCTTGTCTCCTTTCTTTCCTCTGCCCAGTACTCCCCTGTCCTGACCCCTTTCCACCAGCAATCCCTCAACATAACAAATCCTGCCCATTCTATAAACACCAATTGAGACATTAATTCATTTTTACTGGTGTTGCTCACTCCCCCCACTCCCCACCCCCACTGAACGGCTCCTTCCTTCATGTTCCAGGGGCACTTTCTCCATGCCTCCACCATCTGCTTCACCACCAGTATGTGTTCTGTGTTTAATGGTCTGATTTTCCTTCCTCTCTTGGACCCAAGATGAGGCCCTTAATGGAAGAAAATCTGTCTTCCTCATCTTTGTAGCTTTGGCTCTTAGCACCTAGTAGATGTTTGATACATGTTTGTTAATGTATATATTTCTTGGCCGTCTCGAAACACATACATTTAGGATCCTTTCCTACACACACAGACAAATCCTTTTTAAGACTGAAGTGATCCATCTAAATACGCCCTGCAAACTGTTAAGTGAAATTCGCTCAGACATGGCCGACTCTTTGCCACCCCATGGACTATAGCCCGCCAGGCTCCCCTGTCCATGGAATTCTCCAGGCAAGAATACTGGAGAGGGTACCTATTTCTTACTCCAGGGGATCTTCCCTACCCAGGGTTCGAACGCCGATTCTTTACCATCTGAGCCATAAGTGCACCTTTCTGTAGACAAAAGGCCGAGAAGTGATTAAATGCTGGACAAATGTGAGCCGTATAATTGTTCAGTTCATTCTATATTTACATATTTTCTGTTAAAGAGCTGCATGCCCTTATGTCATAATGTTTTAACCTCATAACGTTTTAAAAGAAGAAGGTTTGGATGCAGATTCTCGCGTACCTTTTCCAATTCTGCGGAGCCCCTTGGTTTTGGGCATTGTTAATAAGGGATCAGGATGGGGGGGGCAAGGGGGTTCAGTGAAAGCCCACACCCTCGCCAACAAGTTATGCCAAATCGCCGCAGGTGCCTCTCTCCCAGTTAGAATGGCCCTGGCCACGTGCGTACCCAGACCCTCCTCAGGTCCACAACCCCGCTTCTGGCTCTGGTCCCGAACGCTGGCTTCGCTAGGAGCTGCCGGCGCTGATCGCTCCCAGCTCGGCGCAGCCCGCCCAGCCGCCTCCTCCGCACCTTCTCCCCCTTGTACTTTGTCTCTCGGCCCTGACCTCCCGGCCGCAGGGGCGTTCACGTGACGGAGAAACTTTGGCAGGCCCGGGGCGGCGGGGCGGCGGGCGGCGGGCGGCGGGGCGGGGGGCCGGCGGCTGAGCTCCCCCGCGCGGCGTGCGCTGCGGCGGGAAGGCACTCGGCGGGCTGCGCTGCCTGAGCGTGCGGGTGCGCTAGCGGGCTGGGAAGGCGCCGCCGAGCGCGGGGCGGACTCCGGGAGCCCGCGGCAACGCGCGTGCAGCCTGCGGCGCTGTCGGCCCGGGGCCCCGCCTGCGCTGCCGGGCCGGCGGGTGGCTGAACCCAGGGACGCCGGGGCCCCGCTCGCACCCGGCGCCGCGGTCCCGCCGCCGCCGCCGCCACTCGGTTACATAGATCCTCCATCTCTGCCGCTTCCTACTTCCCTCACTCGTTAATCTGGATGGGAAGTTGGGGGAAATGGACAGAGTCGTGATGGCTTGGGTTGCTCTCCTCTGGCTAACAGGTAAGAGACATTTTCAACCGAGACGGATAACTTGACATGTATTCCGGTACTGGTACAGTTCTCACCCTCCTCCCCACCCCATCCCCAGTTCCCCCCAGACTGTGTTTCAAGCTGCTTAGCAGAATGGTGGTAAGTGGGGGAGGGGGCTCTGTGTGTGTGTGTGTTAGAATGATGGGGGAGGCCGAGAGCAGCCCGAGTGTGTGTGTGTGTGTGTGTGTATTAGAATGATGGGGGAGGCCGAGAGAAGCCCGATAATCAAGTGAGCCGGCCAGAGATGTAGGTGTTTTGACTCATTCGAGATATGAGATTGTTCTTGCCAATGTGCATTTCCCTTTCCATTCCACGGTTCTCCTCAGTCTTATCCGGAGTTTGTATTATGTGAGTCCTGGGGAAAACCTGGTTGGGAAAAAAAATGAAAGCTCAGGGGAGACTGATTAATTAAGAGAACTAGTTTTCTGGAGGTTGGAGGTACACGAGTGTCTCCTTGATTCCTTCCCGGGAGAACCCGGAGCCCCAGGGGCATTCTTCTGTGGCTCCCAGGGGTGAAGGGGAGCTGGAATGAGGAAGGAGACTGGGATGGAGGCTTGATTGGTTGTGGAGTTGAGGGCCTTGAGCTCACTCATTTGGTAGCATTTGGGGAGTGGTTCCATAGAGGAGAAGAGCCTTCCTCCGATAAACAATTGGGAACGCTTCTTAATAAAGATAATTTGCAGAGATATTCAGAAGGTAGGGTTTCTCTTTAGCATTAGAGTCACTTCCTCGAGCTTGGACCTCCATATTTCCCCCTCCCTTTTGGTGAACTTTCTTGTCACCCTCCTGGGATCTGGAAAGGCTGGAGTTCCAAATGTGTGGTCCCACAGGATCATCTGGGAGGTTGAGAGACAGGTGGCCAGGCAGGGTGGGCAGCCCTGCCTGGGGATGGAGGGGTAGGATAGTCAGAGGCTGGGTCTGAGGCAGCAATTCAAAGCAAACTGGAAACCAGGTGATGGAGCAGAAAGGTGAGGACAAGAGGGGGCAGTGAAGGGCAAGAGAGAAAATGTAAAATAGCACCAAAAATAAAGTTGTGTCCCCTCTCGGGGCATTGAAGACTGGGAAAAATCAAGTCAGCAGGAAAAGAGGAACAAGATTAAAAATCTAAGGCAAGTGATTGAAAGAGGGTCAATAATAAAGTTAGGAAGAAAGACAAAACCACTATTTCCCTTAGTTTCAGAGTGAGATTATAGATTACCTCAGTTTTTTTCCTATTCCTAATGAAGGGTCCCTAACACTGGCTCTTGCCCCCTGCTAGGTTTAGGTTTGGGGGAGCCTTTAGCAGAGTTAGCCACTTCTCTTGGCTGCTCTGAGTCCATCCCTCCCACATTATTCACATCTGAATCATCTCTAATTTCAGGGTTTGGCTGATCCATGCCTCCCCACTCCTCTGGCCTCCCAGTGCCTTCCACTTCCACCCTTACTGATTCTGAATGTCCTTAATTTGCCTCTGCTTCTCAGTTACCATATTTGAGGGGAACTTTGGCCTTGAACCTCTATCACCTCCCTAAAGTCCGCTAGGCAACTGCGGAGGGGTCCTTGAATCAGAGATGCTCTTCTAGACACCTTGGGGTGTACCCTCGAAAAGCTCTCTAAAGACTTGTAGGGCATGGGCAGAAGGGGAAGGTAGAGCCCACGCCAGAGGCTGAAAGCTTTTTAATGCAGTGGTCCCTGGAAGGAACAGTCTAGTTCAGTCCTCTCAATTTATACAAATGGAGACCCAGAGAAGCAATATTCACACAGCAAGTTTGTGTTGGAGCAGGTGCCAGAACCCAGTTCTCTCGAGCCCTGGCCCGTTCTTCTCCCATCGGCACCTGGAGAGATTGCTCCTGCCTGGAAACAGGCAACAGGTTATCAGGGCTATCCCAGCTGTCAGAGAGCCAGAACTTCCAGGCTCTGCAAGTGAGGTGGCTCCAGAGATCCCACTGGTCTCCCACTGGCACCCCCTGGTCCTAGCTTCCGCTTCCCTTTCATCCCACGGCGGACAAGCCTTTCAGTCTCAGCCAAGTGCAGGAGCTAACAATGGCGACTGCGGAGGGGCGGGGAGGAGAGAGGAGCAGTTAAGGATGAGATGGATTCAGACTCTTCCTTCACAGAGCAACCAGGAGAGGAAAGGTAAGACATTTTAGTCCAGCCCAATTAATGAATTTTCCCTTGAGGGGGTGGTGGAAAGGGAGGGAAAAAGGAAAGGACAGATTAAAAATGAGTCAGAGAGCCAGAGGGGAAAGAAACACATTCATTCTCCCTCTCCCTCCCTTTCTCTCTCCTCCCGCTTCTCACTTCTCTCCTTTTCTCCTACTCTCCTCCCATCCACCCTCCCCCCCACCACCACCAGTTTCTCTGTTTTAATGCAGGCTGAGCAATTTCTAATCAACACTTCAGGTTTTTCTTCCCTCAGGCTCTAGCAGCTTCTTCCTCGTCTTTCAATGCAAAAATTCTGTATTTCTTTCTGCTGTATATTTAGCCTCCTGATTTCCCATTGTCAGTGTGAGGGAGCTTCCTGCAGTAGACTGTTTTGTTGTTGTTATTGTCCTTGTTGTTTTGCACAAAATAAAATGCTTACCAGCTGCTATTTTAGCAACAGGTGCCATCTAGCAATAAGACTTGAGGGTTCACTATGTCTTTGTTCCTCAATATGGGTGGCATTTCAACCTTTCTGGCAGCAGCGGCTGTGAGAAACGCCACAACTGTGGTGACACTCTGGGAACATACTTCAGGAGCAGGCAGTGCATTTTCCTGGAGACTCTTTTGGGTCTCTCTGTGATAAAGAGTGCTTATTCTACTAGCATTTCTTTTGGCACCTTTTTGGTGGTATTGATTCATTTATTCATCCATTCTCCAGGCATGTACCAAATACCTGCGGTTTCTAAGTATTTTGATAGGTGCTGAGAATACAGAGAGAAAAGACACAGTCTTTGCCCTTGAAGAGTGGTCAGTCTAATCAGTGACTCAAATGAGTTTTCAGATAATTTTGATATGGAGGCAAAAAGTCCTACAATGAGAGCCATGAGAGCCACAGCGGTGCTGTAAGGGCATGGATGAGGCACACCCACCCCAAACCTGGGGTGGGAGTCGAGCACCTCGGAAACCAACTCCTGGAAGAGGTGATGGCTGAGTTAACACGTTTACTCATGCACAGTCAGCTGCCGGGTTACTGTCACATCCAGGCATTGTGCATTATGTAAGGCAGTCGTGCATTCCAGCAACTTACAGTGTGGTGGTGACCTCAGTGATGAAACTGAACAGTTAGGGAGTACCACTTGCAAAGGCGACCGTGGAGATATGCACCAAGTGTTGGGGGTGCTGTAAGGTGGCTACTAACCCAGGCTACATACAGCAGGAAGGGAAGTATCCAGGAAGGGTTGTTACCTGGTTTGTTGCATTCAGGTAGTATGAGAATTAAAATGTTATTAGTCCTAGAGAGGCAGGGGTTTCTTTCTTTTTTTGTATTGATAATATATATTTTTTCTTTTTTTATAATTTTTTAATTAATTTATTATTTTACTTTACAATATTGTATTGGTTTTGCCATACACTGACTTGATCCTCCATGAGTGTACATGTGTTTCCCCATCCTGAACTCCCATCCCATCCCTCTGGGTCATCCCAGTGCGCCAGCCCTGAGCACCCTTTTAAAGATTCCTGACACCTCAGCAGCTGGCGTGCTGCAGTCCATGCGGTCACAGAGTTGGACACGACTGAGCAACTGAACTGAACTGTTACCTCAACTTCCATTATCTCCTTTTTCCATCCTTTCAACTCCCTTCCCTCCTCTGTCCATTTTTCCCATAGAAGAGACCTTTTTTGTACTGGAGCATCTTTCAGCACTTTATTACAACTCTCTCCACTTCCTACCATGAGCCTGGATGCTTTTCTCCGGACTAGGAAAGGGGGCTTGTTTCAGTATCCCATTTACTCCTTAGATTTTAGACTCATAATTCTGCTGAGTGTCTAGCTTATACAGACTTCGTAGTCCTAGTGTAATTCCATGCTAGTACTATACTATAGCCTTAGTGAAAGTACCTAGTGCTTATAGTGTTAGTACCAGGACTTGGTTAGTAGAAAGAACTCTGACCTAGGATTTGAGGACTGGATTCCAATCCCATCTCCATAGATTAACTGTATATCCATGGGATCTGGGTCTTGTAATCTGGTTTGTTTTTTTTTTCTTTCGGCATGTAATTTTATTATTTCATTGAGATATAGTTGACATATAACATTAGTTTCAAGTGTACAGCAAGATTACATATTTCTATATGTTATGAAATGATCACCACAATAACTTAACATCCATCATCTTATACAGTTACAATTTTTTTCTTGTGATAGCTTTCAGCATTTATTCTGTTCGCAACTTTCAAATATGCAACATAGTATTATTTTACTTTAGTCACCAGGGTGTGCATTATATTGGTTTGGACTGCAGCATGCCGGGCTTCCCTGTCCTTCACTATCTCCCAGAGTTTGCTCAAACTCATGTCCATTGATTTGGTGATGCCATCCCACCATCTCATTCTCTGTCTCCTCCTGCCCTCAGTATCAGGGTCTTTTCCAGTGAATTTGCTCTTTGCATCAGGTGGCCAAAGTGTTGAAACTTCAGCTTCAACATCAGTCCTTCCAGTGAATATTCAGGGTTGATTTCTTTTCGGATTGACTGGCTTGTTCTCTTTGCCCTCCAGGGAACTCTCAGGAGTCTTCTCCAGCACCACAATTCAAAAGCATCTATATTTGGTGCTCAGCCTTCTTTATAGTCCTCCTCTCACATCTGTACATGACTACTGGAGAAACTATAGCTTTCATTATATGGACTTTGTCAGCAAAGTGATGTCTCTACTTTTTAGTATGCTGTCTAGATTTGTCATAGCTTTTTTTCTGAGGAGCAATTGTCTTTTAATTTCGTGGCTGCAGTTACCATCTGCAGTGATTTTGAAGCCCAAGAAAAAGAAATCTGTGCATTATATACTCAGGAC